TCAGTGATCTGAATCAAATGGCAAGAGGAGGAGGGGAGCAGAGGAAAAGAGGAGTGATGGGTGCCAGGGAGGGAGCACGGGAGACGTGGGAGACAGAAGGGTTGGATGGTGAAGGGAGGCATGAGGGGCGAGATGTGAATTTTTTCTGACAGGTTGAAGTCTCCTCTGAGCTGACCCTCTCCCTGCTGGGAGACATGTCTCCTGGATGTGGGTGGGGGTGAGGCAGGATGGAGAAAAGGAGATGTAAGAAGGAGCAATGAACTGTGATGCCATGCTGAATGCAGTCGGAACAGCAATAATCATCACTGAGCATGCAGTATATTAATTTGACCCCTACATCCCAAAGCACAGACTCTTGCAGGAAGCTTCCACTATTAAATTTCCCCGGTTAGCTTAATACCACCATCGCTCAGCGTCAGGGAGCATCGTTGGGCAAAGTGTTACCAGCCAACACTTGAAGTATAGTGACACAGAAGACACATCTGCTGTCTGTCTCATTTTAAAATTTCATGTACTAAAGAAAAAAAAAAAAAAAAAAGTATTGATTTGTAAGTAGTAACACTCCGGCAGGGCAGACTGAACAAACATGGTGACAAGTGACTTGCGGTGACTCTGGGGCCGAGAGGAAAGAAAAAAAACAAAAAAACAAGATGAAGAGGGCAGATCATTGGTTTGAATGTCTGGAGAGGAAGCCTGAGTGTGTGTAAGTGTACAACAGAGGAGTAAAAAATGTGTTACAGTCCAGTAGTTGGAGACATTTATACAGAGTGAGGCACAGAGTCGTATATGCAGCATATAAATCAATGCATTAAAGCCAGTTCATTTTAGTTAGGACCCTCTCTTTTTACTCTGTTGTGTTTTATATATGCCTAAAAACATGGGTTCAGACTTGCAGAGTTTCACGCTACAAATGTAAAGAACCCGATCTGTCAACTTGCAGATGAGGACTTTCTATATCATTGTTCATTTTTAGAATCAGCTTCACACGTGTAGCTAAATTACTCCAATATTACAACTTGCCATTATGTAGTGTAATGTAGTTTTACAGAGTTTCAGCAGAGTTGTAGTTTATCTGGTAAGCTCCAGCTCCAGTGGTGGAGGGGTGGATGAAGAAAGAGGCAGAGACCTCTCAAGAAGGCAACAGTGTGGAGCTGCATCGTTTTCAGGCAGGAAAAAACAAACAAAAAAACAAACTGACTTTGATTCACATAAATGAGTTTTCATGGATTTAATCAATGTTCAGAGATTTAAGGAATTAGTTATTCAAACAAAATCAATTAATTTTTTTTTGTCAAATATGCCAACATCTTCTGGTTTTCCGTCCTCCTAAATATGAGGATTTTCTGCTTTTACCGCTTTAATATCTTTGCAAATGTAAGAATTTCTGGCCAAACAAAACAAGCAATATAAAGACACAACCTTGGGCCTTGTGAAAAGGATTTTTTCAGATAGATTGGCTTTTGGAAAATAATTGACAGATTCATTGATGAGGTAAATAAATGTATTTGCACAGAGAGCCCAAGGCCGCGCAGCTCAGGGCACAGTGGCCGTTCAGGCTATATGCTAATGGCAGCATGCTAACGCCCTCATGTGTAGTTTATTGTGTTAACAGTTGCCAGTTAGCACTTTGTACAGAAAGTGGTAGTGTCACCAGTTTTAGACTAAAAGCCATTTTTGCAGTGCAAGATATTTTGAGTGTGAATCAAAGTGGTGGATGGAGCTGACAGAGGAGCCAGCGTTATTTGATCTGTACTGTACTGTGATTACTTAGGAAACAAAACATGTGCCACCAAAAGTGATTGATGACAAACCGGTGGACAGAGAGAGACAAAGTTAACATCTGGATAATTTATATTAGCACCAAATCCAGAGGTGGGTCGTAACAAGTTAAATTTATCATGTTAAATGCCTTCAGTTACTTTTTAGATTAAATTGGACTTGTAGAAGTTTTCCCGCAGAATATTTTTCTCTCCTATTTTAGCTGACCTTTAGAAAAACATATTCACTTTTACTTTTTGGTACATTTATTATGCTACTTATTTATTATCTGTTAAGAGTAATAATATAGCTGAAAAGTCTATCACAATTAAATGTTCTATGTGAGTTGATATTTGATTAATATTTTTTAAATGACCTGTTTCTAATAAAGGCCAAAGAAAAGAGTTTTGTTTTGAATTTAACCACGAATTATCAAAGCACATAGGACATATTTTGAGCGTTAACCCTGCAATTAAAAACACAAATTACACATTAAAATAAACCAGGATAAAGCAGTGATCTCACCTTCACGCATATAAAATATAGAAAGCAAGTAAAATTCAGAGGATTACAGGGTAAAGCCGCTGGGCTGTGGGGAGGCTAAAGTTCTGAGTGGCTGGTCAGGACCCGGTGCCACCAGACAGGAACCCAGCACTGTCTTCAGTGTGCAACTTGACATAAAGTCCGTCAGCCCTCGGAGCAGGAAGAGCGTCGATACAGGGTCATGGCTGTTTTTCTGAGCCCTCACGAAGACTAAGCCTCCACTATACATCCGTAGTGTTCAGCTGGTCCAGCATGTGCATTATCCTTCTTTGTCAAACACGTAGAAAGTATGTGCAACCAAGACGGCAGACTTCCTCTTGTATGCGAGGAAAGAAATGCTTTTGGGCCAGCGAGCATCACGTGATGAATGTGGAAGCTATAGTAATGCAGTTTCGCCACCTTGCCAAAATGGCCTCACAGCTCAGCGCTGTTCCTCGGGGACTTGGCTGAGAGGCTGGTGGTCTGCCAGCACCTTATCCTGCTGCAGCCGTCCCCCCCACGAGTCACGACTCTGGTCATAGTGGCTGAATCTGCAGAGGGAGGATTCAGGTGAGACCAAGCATGCTTAGCCTGACTATTTTTTTTTTTTTAGAAAATGTCTTTTTTTTCCCATGTTGAAGTTTAGCTTTCAAACAGTGCTAGCAGTTAATGTGAACAGGCCACAGTGCATTCGTCTGTCTGTCACAAGAAAATAGGTAAATACAAAACGGTGAAAATGACTCTTGCAGTGTTTGACATTCTTAAATTCAGACGACACCGTGCTGTTTATGGCACGCTAGCCGGGAGAACATTAGACGATGAAATTCCTTCACAGACGTATTTATCAAGACACCCGTTCACCCTGAACACACACATGCATGCATTTATCAGACTCTCATGTTTAAGTGCAAAGTGCTGCTTGAGTAAGATTTCTCCTCAGACAGAATTAGCTCAGGTAAGGAGGGAATCGTTACTGTCTGCTTTGTCTCATCTCCATAATGTTTGCGTATTCCATTAGGTGGAAATGCAAAATGGAACATAATTATGTTGTACTCCCGCTGACAACTGATCTGTCACCGGGCGCATTAGAAACCACGACTGTGTGTAGCGTGAAGAAAGAGCGCAGAGAGAAAAAAAAAAGAGAACTTGTGTGGGCCCGGCTCATCTCTCAGAGTTTGACAAGGCTACTTACCTGGAGGTTGTAAAAATAAAATAAAAAAACAGGATAAAATAAATAAATATGACACGTACGCACAAGTGTACCCCTAAGCTCATTAGACAAACACGCTTGGAGTATCTCATTCCTAGTTCTACCATCCCAGCCAAGACAGATCTCTCACCCCGGTACCGAGCACAATTACACCAGACCAGACAAATATAGCACGGGGGTATAATCTTTCTGAATCACCTGGAAAGTCAAGAAGATAAAAAAAAAACAACAACAAAAAAAAAAAAGCTGCCTTTCGTTAGAGCTGCAGTGCCGGTGCCTTGTAAAAGAACTAGGTTGGCCTCTTTCAGCATGTTTACTTGCAGCCAAGTACAAATTAACCTCCCAAGATCAACAATAAACCTAATTAGAGTTGTGTTCAGCAGCACACATCTCTAAACACAGATCACAGCTTGTTGAGAGATGAATCTCCATCTGTCTCGCTGCACTCTGGGAGGAGGAGAGACTCAGAGAAGATCAGTCCCAAGATTCGTCGAATGAAGCTTTGTGTGTGTGTGTGTCGGCGTGTGTGTGTGTGTGTGCAAGAATGCAGGGAGGGAGCGAGAGAGGCCCTTGTGACCACGGGGTTGCTTCCCTGTGTCAGCCCTTATTTTATGAAGTTGTGCTACAGCGGGGGAAGTGGGACATGGCACATGCAGGGAAGAACACGGCATTGGATTTGAGCGCGTTGGGTGGCGGTGGTGGGGCCGTAACGCTAAGGGGCTCGGACAGGAGCAGCTCTGCCATGCAATTTGACACTCACTGCTGGGACTCAGACAGCCAGACAGGGAGGAACACACGGCCGGCAAAACAGGAGAGATGACTCGCACGGTGAACCGCACTCGCACATACACCGAGTTTAATTTTCCCCCACATTTGCCACGCTGATCTCGCTTTATTATTAATTTTAAACTTAGATTGCCTGTAACACAGTCGGGCACACAGCTTGTATTTTCGATTGTCTACAAAAGATGAATTCCACAGAAAATGTTTCCCTGGTTATCATATTAAATCCTTTAGTATCAAATAATAAACAAATTATTGAATTTCTTCGCCGCTTTTCCCTGTCCTCTAACGTAGGTAGGGAAAAGTTGTAGTCACAGGGGAGATTTTAAGGTCTGAAAATGATTAAAAAAGGTAATTTTTGGGGGATATGTATTTTCTGACTCTGTAGTAATTTCCCTAAGCTGCCGTTGGACATGACAGCATTATCACTGCCTTTGACACTGTGCAAGATAAAGCAGTAGGGACGCCAAGGTCCAAATATGTTGCTTTTATAGGTTGGAGCTGTCCCATTCATCATGTGCTAACACCTTGAGCTCTCTGTAATCCATGTCCATAAGTCAGTGTGGGGCAGGTATTTTCTGCCCTAACCACAAAGTAAACTGAGGATGTAATTTTAAACCTGAGTGTTTGGCAAAACAAAAGGTGAAAAAAAGAGAAAAGGCTTGATGAGGATATTGTTGAATACTGTGTAAATGCAGAAATACACACAACACAAGACAGACACAAATATCTTTCAGAAATCCGTTTATATAACAAAGTGGTTATTATTTAGTATCATATCCCATTACATAGTCTATGGAAGGACAATGTGCATAACCATTTTGCTTTTTTTTTTTTTTTTTTCATGTTCCTAAGGATACAAATAAACTTAAAATGTTACAAATATAAATGTTTCTTAAGACATTAAAACATACTCAGTGACAACAAGGAAGGTAGGCAGGGATATGGCAGCTTACACACTGTGGTCGGACAGGGTTTGTTTAGGAGCATTGCTTGTTGATTCAGCCGCAATTGGTCTTGCACAAATCAATAGTAAGCACTAACAAAGTAGGATATGTGGCAGCTGGGAACTATTTACTAAAAGAAATACTTTGCAAATAGTTCACTCTGTTAGTGGCAATGTTGTATTTACGAATCTTAGACAAATCTTTTCTGCCTGAGCAGAATATCTTGCGAGGTAAAGTGCATTGCAGTGAGTGTAAGTAACGTTGCAAACTTTTCTCTTGCTTTAAGCGCTTGCCACCAGCCACCACATGAATGGCACCTTTACAGTTGCTGAGGAATCTTTCATACCCCTGCCTCCTCAATCTTACAATTACCATGAGCACAAGTCATATCATCAGCTGAGGTTCATTAGTTACAAGCGATAAGATGATGGGATGATGGGCTGTTTTCCACACTAAAATGATGTACCAGTTCAGGTCCTTTTGACCTGACACTCTTTTGCTATTTTCTATAAAAAACACACAACTCTGATTATCCTAAAAGATGAGATGGGAGGAAAATTACAACAATCACTTACAGGGATAATGAGGAATGTTGTCATTGTAGAAGTTTCTTTTGTAATTAAAATAATGTCTTCAGCTACAGCTTTCCAGCCTTTCGGTCTGCTAAAACCGGAGGATTTATGATGCAATCTTGCTATTTAGTTTTGTGTTGCATCATTTAAACGACAGAATGATCACAGTTATCACTGTGGCAGGGAAATGCATGATGTGGAACTTCTACAATGGCTAACACCGTAGCTTGTAGCTCAACACAATGGAATCGTTAAAAAAGTTTGTTTCTCCAAACAAATTGCATCTTACAAAAGATGGATGAGCGTTTCAGATACGAAATACCACGACTATCAGAATCACATCAAATCTCCTACGTTGAATGACAGTTCTTAACTGGATCGATGTTTATCAAACAATGGATAAAATAAAAATGTTAAAAAGTTTATATGTCTGTACAATCTTTTTCATAGTTTCAAAGATCTGAGAACTCTGTTTATCCAAAAAAGAAAAAAAAGGAAAAAAAAAAGTTGGCACATGTGAAAGATAATCTAAGGTTTTTTGTTTTTTTTTGTCAAATTAATCAAGAAACAGACACTGTCACTATCAACCACAAACCACTTGTTTTAGTAAGAATACAATATCCAATTAGAAAGGGAGAAAACACCATCAGATATAGGTGTTGGTGGAGAATTGTTATTAAAAAAACTATTAAAAAACAGGTTTCCTTCTTCATTTTATGTCTATAATCGTACGGATATCAGAGGATGAAGGGGCGAGTAGCGATCAGAAGGAGGAAATCGCTGCTTTGACGGCACTTCTCTATCTCTGCTGTGTACAACAAGTCCTGGAAACTCCTATCAACGCACAATCCCTTATGCAGAAAACTCATTCTCTCTGCTTTCTCTCTATGACTGCTCAAACCTTATATTCAGAGGAGAATTATTGTCTTCTTAAATATGCAGACTTCTCAGAGCATTGTGGGTGCACCTTGAGCCGAGATGATGTGTAAAATTGCATTTTTAGAAGCATGCGGGCTGGGAGAGGAAGCATCATGAAACAGACACATCATAAGCAGCACTGGCAGATTGTTTAAATGAAAAATCTCCACCTATTCAGTCCAGGAGTCGCAATCCTATTTTGCCCGGGTTCCTGTTGTGACTACTGAGCTGGCATGGTGCGCACACACACACACACACACACACACACACGCACGCACACACACACACGTATACACTTGTCCGGACAGAAACACCCAAACACACAATGCCTCAAGCTGAGTTATAGTGTTAGTAAAGTAACTTATGTGATGGAAAAAGGGTCACTTATGCCATTAGTGCTGGGGAATCGGAGGGTGTTAAGAGACTCACTTGCTAAGACAAGCATCATCTTGTCTGCTGTGCCCCTCAGTTGATTATTCTGGTCGCGCCCAGTCTCAATGCGGATTCAGTGGTTGTATTTAGTAGCAACTGCTTACAGCTGAGGGAAGTGAGGGGACAGGGCGGCCCCAGGCATGAATATATGAATAAATAGTTCACGTGAAGCTGTGCGACAGCGGGTCCATACAGAGAAACAAAGCTTACAGTGAAGTTTCAACTGTCTCGTACACAAACACCAAGCATCAGGTGATTTCTGCAGGTAGGAGGTGGTGTCATGCACTCCACCAGGAAACAGGGTTTTTAATAGAGTCGTAAAGTTTGTAGTCTCAAAACCATTTTTGAGCCATGAGTTCCCCGAGCAGATTTTAAATGCTTTTTTTTTTTCTCCCCAAAGGGTTTATTTAAATCAACGTGTGCTGCATGTAAAACCTAAAACATTTCATATTTTGTTTTTAATTATATTATAAATAATTTAGAATTATATTAATTACACATGTTAAAAATGTGTTCTTTAGTGGAGATTCTAGTTTTTATACAAAGCGTATTATATTAATGTTTTGAAAACCCAATGGGAGAAAAAAAATCTATTGAAAATATGCTTTGGGAATTGTGAGTGGAGCAAACTTATCACCACTAGTCTCTAGACAGATTAATAATTGCTGGACTGCTTTTTTTAGAGCCCTCATCTTAAAAAAAAAAAAAAAAAAAAGTAATACACAGATTGAAATAGATTATTAATGAAAATACTGTAATACTTTCGTATTGTCATGTGTCCCCCCCACTGAAAACCTGTGCGACCACAGGAAAGGTCAAAGAGTTCACGTTAGTTCCTGCAGGCAGTTATATGCATTTAAAAATGTGTCAGTCTCTCATGTTAACAGCAAAAGCGACCTTGGGACAGAGATCAGCACCCGAAGGCATTGGTTAGATGTTACACAACTAAAAATAAAATGCATCTTGTCAAAATGGAGATTACAGTTTCAAGATCCATGAGTCACATGCGTTGAGATATTGGTGTAGACAGGGGCCGGCTCTCGTGGCTTCGTGGGATATGCAGTGAAGTGATTCATGGGGACTTGTTTTAAATTTACTACTGAAAATTGTCTTGATGTCAGTTGAAGGAGGGATTGACAGAGGGAAAAAAAAACAACATTTCAAACAGCTACTCCCTCTTCGGTTAGGAGTTCAGTGCTGGAGAAAATGTCAGCAGGTTGAATTCCTGCCAACGTGGGTGTCGAATCCCTGTCTTCCATTAAAGGACAGCTGCCCCACTGTTTGCTGAATAAACGGTGCACGGTATGTTCTTCAGGATAAGCGAACACTACTTTGCAGTCCCTCTTGGCAGAATGTCCATGTTTTGATTTACTGCAATGTTCAATGCATGTTTCGTGTGAAAACTATGTAGTACGCTGATTATAAAAGGATTAAAGTAGAAGACTTGCAAGAATTTAAATGGATTTTCAGACAATGAGAGCCATTCATTTTATAAAGCAGTAGCATTTTTTAAATCAAACCATGTAGGGAGGACACGAACATGAAAAGTAATGAGAAAATATTGAATAAATATGTAAGGCATCAGATGAATGGCATGATAATTGAATGTCGAACTCTTCAGTTCTGCGTAGCTTCTTCAGGCATTTTTGTTCCATACTTGGTGCTGTGTGTGTGTGTTTGAGTGTGAGTGTGCCACAGTGAGGGGTGGTCCGTCCCTCCTTCAGATGTCTTCCACGTCTCCTCCTCGCAGGCCTCTTTGGCACTTATCTAGCGTCTTGTGGTAGGCGCGGGTGATCATCGAGCTTGGTGATTTGCGTTGTGGCGCGAACGAGACCTTTCCAGGACTGCGCGGCGGTTGTCTGTTCAGGGGGAGAAAAGAGAAAAAAAAAAGAAAGAAGAAAGAATCAGAAACAGAGCGTGAGACTGAGAAAGAACAAAAAAGCGTTGTTACATTGATCCATACTGGAGCAGGAGCTCAACTAAATGAAAGACTGTATAGAGGAACTAAAGGAGGCACAGAAAAGAGACGGAGAGGAGAAACAACATGAAGCAAATCCGAGCTGATTGAGAGCGGAGCAGCAGGGGAGGACGGAGAAACAGAAGAAGCTGCTGGAGTGGAGGTGCTTGTGTCTGGTGTCATAGTAACTCCATTCAGTTCCTGACCCAGGCCTCTACTTAAGAGCCCCTCAACTATTCCCCCATCAGATGCAGCATATGCACAGCGGAGTAAGTAAATGCATAGATGCAGGCACACCCACAAACCACTTAGATAAACATGGATGAATTAGGAATAATAAGACTACACATATAATATACATAAAGGACCTTTCCTGTTCCACTTCCTGTTTGTAAAGTCTCTCTATGTTCAGCTCTCTGTGGCATGAATTTCCAGATACAGACTAGAAAGCTAGATATTAGTCTGCCATTTCCTCTGTGCATTTCACGTAGAATTCTCCTGTTACCGTTTCAAATGTCCCCTTCGCTAGAAGAAGCAGCTTCTGAACTAGCATCCTATACGCTGGAAACGGCTAGTTGACTGGGCTCCTTCAAAACGGCAGGTCTGCTCGGTTCTTTCAGTGAATAAGCCATTCAGATGTCGGCCTTATTTTATTGTTTTCTGTCTGTATCGTTGTGGTAGCCTTGCGATGTCCAGTTTGTACCCTGCCTCTCATCCACTGTGAGCTGGGATAGGCTCCGCCCCCCAGGACATCCAACAGGACAACGTAGGTATTGGTGATGGATGAATGATTGTTATCAGCCATTTCAGAGGACAAATGTATATTAATGATCCATATTTAATGAGTCCATTTGTCATTTTATTCAATTTGGTAATATCTGGACTGTTCATTAACCAGCTGGTCATTTGTCGACCATATCTGGCTCACCTAAGCATGGTCATCAGTGTACAAAAAGCAAAATCATTGACAATGGCATAGTATGCAAAGGATAGCCAGAGTTTCTCAGCTATTCGTCAGGTTAGAAAGAACAGGAATATTAATCCTATAAATTTGCTAAGGTGAGATGCAGAGAGATTTGAAGTGATAAGGCCATTTATGGGCTATCAAACAGTGTTTCACAGTCGTAATCGTACTAACAAAATACTATGAAGGAGTTGGTCCAACCAGAATCTAGATTTTTGTCAAGCAACAGTGAGATGTCTGGCTGTTACTGAGTTCAGATCTTTTTCTCCAGGTTTGTCTTTACAACTGCAGGAAATTTAGGTACCGTCAGTAGACTGTCAGTGGACTGTCAGTGGACTGTCAGTGGACTGTGCTGTAAGCCGTGTCAATGAACTCTGGAGCTCTTCAGAGCTTCAAGTGCTTGAAGTTTTTTTAGTTTGTTGTAATGCTCCGGGTAACCTTTCTTAGCTGTTATCTCAAGCACTTCAAGGTGGGGACACTTGTACATCTTTTCTGGGGGCCAGACTAAGCTAGTGTCAGTACAGACATGTGCATCATGTGCTGCTGCTGGTACTGGCATGCGTTCTCAGCTCTGGTTAACTTTAAGCAACATTTTCTGGACTGTTATTGCCCAGAGCAAGATGGTGCCGTAACTAGCCCTCTTCTTTAGAAAGCTACTCCGCATATTGTGAGCTAGCACGTCACTAGGTTAGGCTGGCTGGGATACTGTCCAAGGTCCACTTCAAGGTCCCTGTCACCATAGCCAATCAGGTTATTTTGTTGTACTATGACAACCCACTTGATCTCACCCTCCATTCCAGACACAATGATGACTGACTCCTTCCCCACTCCAGAGGACTTAAGGTCAGCTGAGAACAATTCACAAGTGACCCTAAGTCCTTGGGTATGAAGTCAACTCCTCGACTGATTTACAATCCCTCTGAAACAGACCCTGATATGACACATTTGCCAATGTTCATCCTTAATTCCTCTTTGCCCATGGTTATCCGGAGAATTAAAGTCTTGAGCAAAGAGCTAGGAAAAACTTGAAAGCACAAAAGCACCAAGAGTTTGTTTATCACGCTCACAGCTTACAACACAATGTGCCCTTGTTCTGACAGCGCCTTACTTTTCATGCAGCAATATAGCCAATAACTTGGATTTGTTACCAAGAGCAGCAAACTCAATTCTGAACCCAGTAACAGCCAGACATCCTACTATAACTTGACAAAAGCCTAAATTCTAATTGGACTCGGACATCATTGTAAACATTGCAAGTTCTGTTGGACAACTCCTTGGTAGTACTTGTTAGTATGATTACTGCTGCAAAGCTCTCCTTGGCACTCAGGTGGTCTCATCACTTTAGGGGCCATCGTCTCTTCTTATGCCCTTCACAGATTTGTGTGCCTGTAGGTAAAGTCAGTTCAAATGACAAATGAATTCATGTGTGGGCTTCCTGATAGTACCTACCACTGCTTCTGAGGCCTTGTCCACATGCATGCAGGTATTTTTTTAAAGCATAGCCTTTTGGCCTTTCATTCACATGGAAATGCAGGGTCAGATGAGGTCACGGAAAACTGACCTTTTAAAAAACTCAGTGTGAATATTTACCAACACAATGTTTTCAGTGTTGACATGTGGACAAGAAAGAAAGAGATTTGGCCTGTAAGAGTCACAATGTACATCGTTATTTCTTTTGTTTACATGAGACACCTTTGCGCAATTGACAAAGAGGACATGGACAAAGGAGAGCTGATGCTAACCTTGCTAATGAAAAATGTTTTCATTTATTTTTTTTAAAAAATGTTTGAAACCTAAATGTACAGATACACTTCCACTATATTGACAAACAGATGCGTTACAATCAGTCTACACACAGTCCTGTTTTTCTCAAGGCACTATTATGGGTAGACTTACAGAACTTTTTTGAAGCTTTTGATTGGCCAGCATAGCTTGAGGATATATTGCCACCTGTTGGTTTAAATGCTCTTAACATCACTTCAGTTTTGTTTTTGCATTATCTTGTGGACAGATATCTTTATTGAGACAAAATGAGGGGAATCAGAGTTTAAAAAAACACTCATATATGTCTACAATAGGCCTGAAACTAAGGCGTAGTCCACAACTACATTGGTATTTTTGTGAAACAGGTTATTTTCTACATTCTCAAAAAATCTGTCCACTCAACCACTGTTTGACCGTGAGGTGAAAATATTCCTCAGTATAATTTCTGTGTAAACGTGTAATAAAAGTCCTGGTAATAAGGTTGGTACCAGCCCTGCTTTGACCATGTCTGCTCTTGCACCAGAACTGCTGCTTGTAAACAAAGGAGAAGACAGTCCACAATGATGTTACAAGCCAGAAAGTCTTTTTGCTAAATCTATGCTGCAAACTGAGGTTCAATGACCTAAAACTGTGTTTGAATGTGGACAAAAATACAAAATGCATAGAAAAAGCTATGCTTTTAAAAACTCCCAAAGTGTGGACGAGGCCTAGCGTAGCCACGGTGGAAAAACCCCAATACAGACCACAGACAGGGCAAGGTGTCATGCTCTGGCTGTGTCTCCCTCCCCTTCCTTGTGTCTCTGCCATTTACTTCCCCTTCTCCGTTTCGTCTCTTGTGGGTTTGTCATCTCTATATGTTGGTGTGGCTGGGCGTGGCAGACTGCTCTCCTGTGGCAAGTTCTCTGCACAACTCACTCTCATCTAAACTGAGCCTCTGCAGTCCTTAAAGCCCAGTTTTTCACGTCACTCTTTGTCAATTCTTCAGTCTGTAATGCCACAGCCATTTCTGACTTTTGTTAGTTTTCTCCTCGTGTCATGATGAAACTCTGTCTAACCCTTGTCTCTGTCTGCCTCAGGTCCTGCCTGTTACCTCTGGTCACCAGTCTGCCTGCCCTGCCTTGTTCCCCATCAGGCTACCTCAGTCCTCTGCAAAGCCAGCCATGCCGCTACAGCCAGCCACATCTTTCCTGAGCCAGACATCTTGCTGAGTTTCTCTTCCCGACAACCAGCAGGCCTCTCCTCTTGCCACGACTCTCCCTCGACTGCCACTCACCACAGGAAAACTACAAGCCTTATTCACCTTCACCTTGCCTTCAGTTATAAATAAAACAACTCTCTAAACTGTGCACTTGTGTCCAGTTCTGCCTCTGGGTCCTATCAAATTCCATTACTTATGAAGGACTGTAAGACATGTTGCTGTGGTACCGCAATTCCACTTTAGAAAGATTAAAATTACATCAAAAGCAGCTCCGAGATGCTCAGCTAATAGTGGCAGAGACACTTTCGCTGTATCGTTTGTGGTCAGAAAGCAGGACCAGTCATACTTTGGGTTTTCTCTGTTGCCAGTTCTATGACAGAGTCATACAAACACTCCTTCCTATGCTATCCAACCATGGCTGCCCAGAAATGCCCATGGCATATGCTGGGCAGCCAGGTGGCAGGTGGGGCTGGACAGAACCAGGAAGCATAGCCATGGAGATGACTGCAGGCACACCCACACAGGACTCCCTGGTATTTCCAAGCGTGCCGCCGCCAATGTGCCCATTACTCAGTGCCAGCTGTAGGGTGCCAGGCGTCCTGGGCTGGGCGTTGTTTAATGGCACTCACTTCATCCATCATGTCAGGTAATGAGCTGAGAGTGACTGTGATGGCTAGGAACACATACACAAACATGTGCACACACAAGACTCGCACATACTCCTACATTCACAACAGAGAACAGAAAGCACTCCTTCTTCAGATTGGATACAAAACATCATACAGATGGTGCACAGGAGGAGAGAGGGAGACAGAGGGAGGGAAGGAACAGAAGGACCAAAAGGAAGACAGATCGAGATGTTTAAGAAAAACGGATAAAGGTTCTGTATCCTCTGTTTCTTTTAGTTTAACCTGCGTTCATATACAGTAGGCGAGCACAAAAGCTAACATGTTCTGGCAGCGCGTCCAAACACATCATCACTACTTATCCATGCACTCATTTTCCTGTCCACAGGTTGTGCTTCACTCTGTAAGCATGACTTACACAACCTTCCTCCTTTCAAAACAAGCATCTGCAGCACACAAAAAGAAAGAAAAAAACTGGGACAGTTTAAAAGAAAAAAAAAAAAAAAGTAGATCATCCGCAATCTATCCCTGCCAATCATTTGCAAGCCCAGTTGCTGTAACCTCATTTCTGGGCAAGCAGTCGCCTTTCACCCTCAGTCTATCAGAGGAGCATGAAAAACAGAGCTGGGAGAATACAGACCCTTTGTCTCCAATGTGCGGTCATCTTGGGCTACATCTATTACTGTAAATAGGATGTGGGGGGGAAAGATGGTAGGACGGATCAAACAAGACGACACAAAGAAGGTCACATATGATTTAGGAGAGGAGTAAAATCATGAAAGACAAACTGCAACAATCAACAAACAGATTTATCAGAATTACAACTGGCGGCTTGAATAAGGGCTGCACAAAAGTTCTGTTTTTTAGACTACAACAGAAAATAGATTCTTTGTGTGGCATTATATACTACCAAACTAGCTCTGCTTTAATGCGTAGCTTGTCTTTTTTTTACGTAAATGGAAGCGTTTCCGCGTGTCGTATCGGGTTGTTTGTTTACAGTAATCGTTGACGCACAGGACCCGAGCATATGCAGCCTTAAAACAAGAGGGATGCTTTGCGATCAGCTCTCTTCCCCAAAACAATGTGCTCAGAGTTAACCTTGGTATCGATTCAAAGTACAGGTGTATTGATACTAATATGGGAACTGTGCTTTTAACAAGAGAAAACTGCTGTTGGCTTTGTTATTTGAAGAGACAGTCATTTCGCGTGCTGTGTAAACTGAAAACAATGGAGACCATTAGTGTGACCACTTGTTGAAACCCTACAGGAACGCTGCCATATAGTCGGCAGCTTTTTGTGGAATAACAAATGAAAAGTGCCCTTTTGGGTGTATTTGTGTCTTGCCTAACTGCCTGAATATATTGGAAAGCTTTCGTCAAAGACTTGCGGAAGAAAAAAAAAAAAAAAGGGGGAGAAAAACTTCCAGCAAAATGCATCTCCCATCAGAGGATCCTTGAATGGAGAGCTATTGGCTTCTCATAAAGACTTTTCTGTTCCTATCTTCAGGTGCATAAAAGCCCATCTTTTCACACCCCACATCAATCTATCACAACAATTGAACAAACAGCAGCCATTTCTACTGGGAGAGAAACATTACTACTAGCCTCTACTGAATTGAAAGCTCCAAGCGCACACACACACACACACACACATACAGGCGGAGAGGGAAACAAAGTGAGACTGGGGAAAAGGAGGAGGGATCCACACAAAAGACAAACTCTACGACTTTTTTTTTTTTTTTAGGGTGCACTGATTGCAACTCTTTCTACTCGCATTGGTTTTGATGGCTTCTTTACCTGCTTCTCCCAGAGGCGACATCTTTCCGAGTTACAGTAGCAGCGACACAGAGGAGCACAAGAACAGGAGAAGAAATTGACAAAAGAAGAGCAGGTATTCCATGTTACAGCAGGGAGATGTTGGCATACCAGAACTTAATTAAATGCCGGCTGGCACCATTTCTCAAAATGTTACTAAATGCACCGAGGATTTCGGTGAGGGTGGGCAGATGAAGGGGGACGTCACCGACACACACACACACACACACACACACACACACACACACACACACACACACACAGAGGGAAATACATTGTTCCTTAAGTGTTAAAGCGGTTCACAGAGAAATGGCTCAGTGGATTGCTTTGAGGAAATCACACACACGCGCACTTCTCCTCTGTTTTCTAACACACAGAGGCAAATCCTTGCGTGTATATCATGATGATCCCTGCCACAAGGGAGAGGCTCGGAATAAGACAAGGGTAATAGGAGGAGGAGAGGACGCCAAGATTACTAAACAGCTAAAGCAGAGGCCTTAAGCCGGCGCAGTCAACTCCAACCTTCTCCTGACTGTTTGGAGGGCCTCCACTGAGATGTCACTTCACGTTATGATAAATGCTAGGAGATTCCTCAAAAGCGATTAAATGTCATAATGACTTTTGAGTTACTGTCATGTTTGGCTAATTGCACAGAATTACATCATGATAGGGTTCTATGATCTGCAAAAGAAGGAGAAGCTGCCAGTCATTTATCAAAACGCTTTCAGCATGGGATAGTTTGAGGGATTACCTCTCAGTGGCCAGTATAAACAGGAAGACTTTTAGGGGGGATTATGCGATGTTAGGAAAATACAGTCTGGGTAGCATTAGACTCCGGGGCCAACATCTAAACATGGCACTCACATTCATCAAGACCACAACAACAAGTTCACATAATCACCAGTCTTGTGTGCAAATAGCTTCAGAAGGCAAACAGGATGCATCATAGCTGCAGCTATTGTAGAATATCTTTGTAAATCTTGCGCCGACTGTCTTTTGTGTTAAATAAGTGAGCAGCGACATGATGTGTCTGACATGTCACTGCCTTTGTCTAATTCTTTCTGTCTCAGTTGCTCCGCACTCCACATTTTGATGAGTTAAAACATAATAAAGGTGATTAAATCTCTGCTCGCTGCACATCAACATGTTGTGTTTTGCTTCTCTGTTGAAGGGGAAAACGTCTGCAGCAGCAGCAGCAGCACCAACAGGAACAGCCGCAACCTTCTATCACCCCTTTTCATCTCCTCCACCTCCCTTCCCTCCCTCTCCTCCCCTCCCCTCCCCTCCACCAGCCTCCAAGCTACAGAGTAATGGAACTCCCTACACAGAAACAAGATACGGTGTATAAATGGGATGCAGAGGGAGAGAAGCTATTTCTTCCTACTGAAAGTTATGGGTCGGGTATCGCAAAACTACAGTCGTGGAAAACACAGCCCCTCGTTCACTGGTAGGAGTAATCACCCCAAACAAGGAGCAGGGGAGAAAAACACAGTGCAGCCGAGGAATACACGAGAGCAGCGGCGGAGAGGTGAGGGAAAAAAAAAAAAAAAAAAAGATGGGGTGGTAGGTCAAAGAAGTGAGTGTCAGCGAGCCTTTTCTATCTGATGTTACAAGTCACTCATTGATTTATAACAAGCCGCTGAAATGTATACAAACCAAAGTGTGGTAGAAGATTAACGGATTAAAAGTTCAACATGCTCTCGGTGCTACTGCCCCACGAATGTTGGGTTCATTGTTTCCCTTTTTTTTTTTTACGGTGAATATCGAGGTTTTTCCAAATAAGAAGCCTGATTTGAAACCATTTTCACTCCGATTTTCTCAAACTTATTTTCGTTTTTTACTTCTGAAAAAGGACAGTGTTCACCATAGTTTGTAGGAAACAGAGGTCATCTTGCTTCTGGTAACAACAACGGAAGAGAAATTTTCAGATTTTGTGGCAGAGTTTCTCTAAGTAAGCAAAAAGACAAAATGAACAAACAAGTAAACAAGCACGGAATTGTTGAACTCTGTTGGTTGTGTTGCAAACTGTATTTTCAGAATCCATTTCTTGGGAGAAATGTTGTAGTCAGTCTTGGAATCTAATTTTCATTTGTTTGTGCATTCAACTCATGCTTATTGCCATCGTTACAATTATCAATGTTTTTCAATTCCACTCAAAAAAAGGGGATGCAGTTGTTTAAAACAATTATATTAGTGCGTAAGTACGTGAATACAACATTTACTTTGTCTAACAAAAAGGACACACCCAGAGCAGATGTGTTGAAGTTTTGGCAGACAAGCTGAACACCATTCTTTCCCTTTCTATATATTCTCTTCTACCTCAGCATTATTTTCATTTATTGATGTCCCACATGTGCTTGTTGTCAAACATGGATGTTCGAGATTAATCTGCATAATCAATTATGCTGATGCTGGAGATGCATTGACGCCAACAGGACACCTTTTATCTTCTGAGTCTCTTGAATTCATTGTGATAAATAATCACAAAAACCACCTCATCATAATGTCAGTCATTTTTTCCAATTTATTCAGTCATTGGTCGACTGAACTCAGTGCTACAGTTTTAGAGAATGGCAGCTGCAGCAGAGTCTGTTTTTTCAAAGACCCAAGGCTTCAAAACAAAAAAGGTGGTTTGTCTACTGTGTTAAGTTTTGATGGCTACTGTGGAAGATTTACTGGCAGGAAAAGCAAAACCACCGTG